ATATTTATATTATAATTTATAATTTATGATAAATTTCGGTGTGAAGAAGAATTGATGAATTTCGGTGTGAAAAGGAATTGATAAATTTTTGTGTGAAGAGTAATTGATAAATGATCATGTGAAGTGGAATGTAAAAATTTTTTTAGTTATATTTTTTTTATTATTTTATAATTATTTCAACATGTCATATATCTCATTTTTATAAAAAGAATAAACTCATTTGTGATATTCATTTATTAATTTTTATTATAATTTTATTGAAATGTCAATAGATACAAACATTTTTATGGGTAATTCACATCAATCGATCAACGTTCAGACTTCATAATTACTGAAATTTCACTATTACATTCAATTTATTTTTGATATAAAGTAATTTGTAGTGTATGAAAGAAATATTTATAAAATAATTGTTATATTATTATTATTATTAATATAATGGTAATATAATATAATAGTAAATTTGAAAATATTTTTTAATGCAAAATGTTTTGACGTTCTTCGTAAATTTCTTTAATTTATATCTATTGACAAGTTATTTATGTATAATTACATATGATTTTCATTTGAATATTTGCTTCTATTTTATTATTAATGGATATTTTTAATCAAGTTTGCAATTTTTTGTAGTTTCCAAAAATACGATTTTATTAGAAACATTCTACGAAATTTTACAATGGTACATATAGATGTAAGTATATATGTATGTACACATATATGTATAACCGAAGAATACAAGCATACTATATAATACGATACAAAGTACATTCGCATAAATTCTACTCTGTTCGTATATTCACGCATACTTATATTACAAAATAAATCGACGAAAAAGAAAGGCACTTGTCGAACCAATCTCGATATATATATATTTCAAAATTTTTTCTAAATGAAACTAACGCACAATATACGTGTTTTTTAATATGAGATTAATAGCTTATCTTTTCTTCTTATATAACGACACTTTCATCGAGAATTTGATTATATCTTTAACAATTTGTAATAATTTTTTTTTCTAAGAATGGACAAGCTGAATTTCGATGATAAAAATCAATCAATTGATCAATTTGATCGATTTCGTATAATTCTTATCGAGCATCTATTCGGCACTTTAAGATACATTGGACGTTCGATCTGGTCCACTGATTACGACTATCACATTTAATAAAAGTACGACGGCGGTCAATGAACTTGTAAAAAGTACATTTATACGTTTGATTCATGATTCGTTTTAGATCATTAGAAGAAAACACGATTCAGTATAAAAAATATCATAAAAAATGATGTATATATCAGCACAAACATTAAACGTGACAAAAAAGTCGTACAAAAAGTGACGATCGTAATATTAGATCTATCTATAGTTTAAATAGTAGATAGACGATGGATGTCACTAAAAAAATCCATAAATTTGAACGAATCGATAGATGGCGTTAGTGATTACGCAGCGCCTGCGCTTTGATACTATTTGCTTTTTTAAATGGTACGCTTCGCAGGCAGAACGGAATACTGCACTTCACGTTATATGAATTTTCTTTGTAAATATTATTTAATCACAGCATAGTTATTAACAATTGATTTCCAAAAGGAATGCTATGCTTGCCTGAAAACGGCAAACGTATAGATGTTTCGCGAGACAATGTACAATAGAAAAAAGATTATCTTAGGCACATACTCAGCATTTGTTCTCGAACAAAAATCTTTTTATCGTCATCTTCTACGGTCATCCATATACATTTTACATGGAAGACTGTGTCAGATCAACGTATAATACTGTTTTGTATCTCGCCTAAAATCGTTTGCTAATTTTTGGTACAAATTTCCATCTAGTTTTCTTGGCAACATCACGTGCCGTGCGTATTATTAATTATCTTTCCTGCTGTATACGTATTTATATATATACTAATTCACACGTGCAAGCATTTGGATCTCGAGGCTATATCGCAAAACAAATGTAATTCAACGCAAAAATCTGCGAATTCATTTTGCTTGTATCATTCTTTGAATATTTGTTTTTAAAATTTTCTTCCAAAATTAGTAATGAACGAAGTTTGATTTACATAATATATAATATATATATATATATATATATATATATAATTA